ATTATTTTTAATTATTAAAAAATATAATTTATCCAAGTAAAAGAATAATTTGGTAAGAATGGATGAGAATGTCTAAACAACTTAGAAATATTTTTTTTTTTCCAAAAAAAGATGTTTTTATGCTGCCCTTCTCGATTATACTCGGTTTACTCACTGAATTTTTGGTTTCTAAACCTAGTAATCAAAAATTGAATGATTACAGTTGATTCAATTTGCATTTAAATTTAGAAAATTGAAAAAACAACAATCTTGACTATCAATTATGATTTCAGTCAGGTTCAAAAGAACTTTTGGATTATTCCCCTCCTAAATCCTAATTGTTGGGGTTTTTAAATTTTTTATTAGCGGGAACCTCTCTCCTATGATCCCATCGGTTGACCCATACACTCATAAAACTTTCACTTTAGGTTAATTGTTGTTATTGGATATTGGTGGTAGTAGCTAACATTGCATCTGAGTTGGCAATTGGATAAAATTTTTCTGGTAATTTTATAAAGTAATTTCATCTAATTGAGAAGTTTTCAATTTTCATATTTATGTAAGTATTATTTAAAAGTAAGTTTACAAAAGCTAAAACTTAAAACACACAGATAAATAGAACTAGGAGGAATAAGCCATTTTTATATCCAGTCTTGGGTTTTCTGGGGAATTATTTTCTTGTGTTGAGGTAAGGTAACTGCAAATTTGGTTTGATCAAAAAAAAAAAATGTAAGAAATTGTGAAATGTAATTATTATTAAGATATAACTAATCAAACACATTATTGAAATTGATTTCCTTCAGGGCTGTTAGTTGGCCATAGAACATGAAAGATCCGTTTCAGCTGTATCATATCAATGTTATTTGTATTTTTTAAAAAGGGAAGATATCCCATATTACTAAATATTTTCAATAATAGACATCATAGTTGTACATTCTTAAAGAAATTAAATTCTTAACTAGTAAGTTGTGAAATAACCATTTTAAATACTATTCATAACTTTTTTTTCCCACAATTTGAGTTCCTAAATTAGTTAAAGTGTTTTAAAAAATTACAGTAATTTTTTAAAATGAATTGAATAATGCTCTATCCATGATAAAAGTTTTTTTAAAAAATTTTAAATATGTTTTAAAATAATAATAATTTTTTATATTTTAAGAAAAATAAATTTTTTACTTAAACTTTATAATTATCTGTCAACTTTAATTATTTATTATCTAATAGATTATTTAATTAAATTAATTTATTTATTAGAGTAAAATAAATAAAAATAAAAATTATTCTCAAATTCTTAATTAAAAAGTAAAATAAAAAATATCTATTATTTTATAACTGAATGAGAATACCTTTTATTACCAATAAATCCAATCTTTGTACTAATATTTAATAGTATTGATATAATTCCTATTTTATGTAGTCAATTTTCTAGTAAACTTTGGATAAAGACTATTATCCATATAAAATGATCTAAAATTGCAAAAAATTGGTTCACAATTTCTCTTTTCTCACTTGGATGGTTACAATTATGTTGAGTTTTTTTTACATAAAAATCAACTAAATTATTTTGATTTTGAAGAAAAAGAGATGTATCACTTTTGAGTTGTGTGACAAGGAAAGAATGCCGGGATCGTGTGGTTCGTGAAGGGATAAGGAAAAAGAGAGCAAGAAGACAATGGCATATGTCTACGAAAGGGAAAGGGAAATGATTGATATATATTTTTTATATATTTTTAAAATGTTAAAAAAAAAAAACCATACACTTACCGCCACATGTCAGCAGTGTGAACCTAAACCTTAAAACAGTTGGGAATTGATTTACTTTGATTTTTAGTGAAAAAAAAAAAGCTCAAAATCCAACGAAATCGATGGCGGATGTTTCCGCCCACCCTTTTTTATGCCTTCGCCGGCATAGCCGTAGTCAAACTCTTTGGAAGGAAAAATGTCAAAATCTCTTGCTGTCATCCAAATCCAGACGCAAAAGTTTATGGCTTTCTATATTTGTACACATTGAGCGGCTTCAAAAATGAATTCATTAAGGCATAGAAATTGGGTCTCTCTATTCTTTCTGGGTTTTGCTTTTGCTTTCCTTCTGTATTTTTATAGGTGCCCATCTTCCCCTCCAACTATGGCTGCAGAAGCACCCAAGTCAGTTTTTGACTTCACTGTCAAGGTAATTCATCTATTTTTAAGCTTATTATTTCTTCTTTGTTTGCTTAGATTTGAACGTACAGCATGCTTTGCTGAGAATGAAGAAAAAAGGGACTATTTTGTTATATACTCAGAAATGATTGCGGTGAATTGAAATCTGGGTTTTATTTTTATTAGCTGGTGGCAAATGATAGCAATTATATGTATATGGGGAAAATTGTATGATTTTCCATTCTTGTTTCTTAGGTAAAGCAGAATGAGCATTTAGAAATCCTTTTGACTTTTTGATTCTCAGGTTTTCTTAAGATTTTTAGGGACTTATAGTGAAATGTTCAAATTTTCATTTATGTTGACTTACAGTTCTTTTTTATGGAGATTGCAAAATATCAAGATGTTCTAGTAATTAAAATGTTAGAAATGATAATGAAAAGAACGTAATCCTAGCATTTTAGAATGTCTTGATTTTCAATTTTCTTTTAGTCTTATACCATTTTTTTTCTTCTGTCCTGGCTTGAATTGAATTATCTGATTTATTTCATAAGCTGGTCAACAACATAGCTCCCTTCAACCCAACTGTTTTCAAATTTGTCGTGGTGATGCAACTTTTTTTTTTTTTTTGAAATATTTTCTTCTCCCTTATTGTTATTCTGTTTTCAACGTGAAACAGAAAGAGAACTAAAAGAAAATGGCCTAAAAAGAAACAAATTGTAGAGTATCATTTACCCACCGATTTCAATTTTTAACCTTTTTTATCAGAGTCAGTTTTCTACCTATTCTCAACCCTTTTTTGTCTTTCCCTTGCCTTATGTTGTTTCTAATTAATCTAGTTTGCAGGACATCCGGGGAAATGATGTGAGTTTGAGTGAATACAACGGGAAGGTTCTTCTGATTGTGAATGTCGCTTCACAATGGTAATCTGGCTTGATCAGCTTCATGTTTTAACCATTTTAGCTTAGTTAATTTGCACTCGAGGGGAAAATTAATCTTTTTCTTTTCAAATATATATCAAGAGGCTCTTTCGTCCATCAAGATTCTACTTTGCTAAAAATATGTTAGATAAACCAGACTTTATATTTCCAAGGTGCTTTTTCATTTTTTTTAATTTTTTTCCTCCTGAAGAGTCATTTTTACGTTTTGTCATTCCTTTGACAGTGGCTTAACAAATTCAAACTACAAGGAACTGAATGTTTTGTATGAAAGATACAAGAGCAAAGGTTTGTCCCTTGTTACAGACACAGTTCGTAATCCAAAGACTTGTTTGACAGTCTTTTCCAACATTTCAAGTTTCTAAACAGTTGATTTTGCTATTGTTCGTGCAGGTTTTGAGATCTTGGCATTTCCTTGCAACCAGTTTGCAGGCCAGGAACCAGGAAGCAATGAGGACATTCAGGAAGTTGCGTGCACAAGGTTCAAAGCAGAATTCCCAATTTTTGACAAGGTAATACAGATACAGATAAGTTATGTTCCTGAGATAGCCCTCCAATATCTGTAATTTTCTCTCTGAGGCTACGTATAAAGTTTTAGATATTTTTTCTTTCTTATGTGAGGGTTACCATTCTTGTTAAGTTAAAGGTTTCCTGTTGGCCAGAAAAAAATAAATTATAGGTTTCCTTGGCCTGAACACATTATGATAATTATATATTTTTTGTTCCAAGTATCCGACACAAAGAAATCTAGAAAGAACTGGAAGATTTGTCTCTGTAATACATATTATACTCATTTTTAAAATGACTCATCTGGCTATTTGTAGGTTGAGGTAAATGGAAAAGATGCAGTGCCTCTTTACAAGTTCCTGAAATCACAGAAAGGTGGATATTTTGGAGATGGAATCAAGTGGAATTTCACAAAATTTTTGGTTAATAAAGAAGGAAAGGTTGTTGAGAGATATGCTCCAACTACATCACCTCTTAAAATCGAGGTTAGAGCAGTTAATATTTTGAAATTATTTTTTTGTTAAAGAGGGTGTAATGTAAACTGCAGCTAAATTCAATGTTACATTTTCTCTTGCAGAAAGACATACAGAACCTGCTGGAATCTTCTTGAATACCAAGGTCTTTTAGCATCAACTTGTGTCAAAGCTCCAAGCTGTCTACATGGCATAAATCTCTTTTCTTTTCTTTTTTTTCATTTTTTTTTCTGGGTCTTCAATTTGATTTTATCTGTTGACAATAATAAAATCTGATTCCATTTTTTTTTTTTAATGCTACTTTGATCTTGTAGCTCATGGAAAAAAACTCTAATGAACTTGCATTGAGTTGCCAGACTTTTAAGTCCATGTTTGTTCCATGTACTTTTATAAAAATTCAGCATTCAGGATGGATTTATTTTGTATTTCGCCGAAATATCATATACTTCCTCTTTTTCCTTTTCTTCCTGAGTCTCTGATATGTCACAGGGAATTAAATAATTAAGTTTTGAGAAAAATAAGATTGGTGTTCTAAGTATAAGAAATTGCTGCTTACTCAGAAAAAGGAACGAAGTTGCTACAAGGGTACATATAAGATTCATCAATGAATCACTTTGCAGGGACAAACGGGTACTAGACATGGCAAAGATGAGAGCTGCCATTCCACCTTTCCATAATGTGCGAATACTTAATAGAACAGACCAGGATTACATTGCCTAATCCAAGTTTGATCTGAGTTCACAGAAAAATACTTTACAAAATATCAACTTCAAAATCAAGCCAACATGAATCTTTCATGACGGTTTACATAACTTGACAGCATGTCCAGGTAGACAACTTAGCTTTCCATGAGTAATTCAATCATGTTCTATTAGAAGGTAGCTTAAGCAGGTTACAGCTAAAAAGCACAAGAAACCGTGTCGTTAAAGAAAATTGATCCTTCAAATGGGGGTCAAGTTTCCAAACTAGTGCAGATTGTGTTTCCGCAACCATTTTATAATGCAGTGCGGGGTAAGAGAAGACCCCAACCAATAATCACCACAAAGTAAAGAGTAGAATCTGAGTTCTTTCCAAATTTATTTCAAAGTTAAACCATATATACCATAAACTCTCTCTTCACCATAAACGACCTGCATTTCATATAAAGTACAAGACACAGATATATGAAGAAAAAAAAAAAAAAAAGGAAAGGTAGCAAACAATCACAATGCAATTATGTAATTAGAAATACAAGAAGAAAAGGTCCATTTACTTGCATAAACTATTATATTGTTTTCCAATAATGCAAGGTAGACTAATAAATTTTATCATTGAGCTAAGTTTCTAACAATTTTTATATGTGCATCTTTGAGACCATGAGGACAAATCAGCAATTTGTGCAAAAATTGATATATTATACTTTGTTAAATTAACAACAGGGAAAGAAGTGAATGAATGATGTCTCGAATGGCCATTTTCAAAATTTAAAATCAACACCACCCAAGTGATCATTTGATTTTTCTATAGCATGTTGTCTTCTACTCTCAAGCTCAGATAACAGACTTACTGCACATGCTGGCTTCATGCTGAAGGAAAGTAATGGAGATCCAATTGCATCACTAATGAAGTTTTCCTGCATAGTCCACAACATCAAATACACAATCCACTGATGCAATCAATAATGGATTGTAGGTGTTTTTTGCTGTTAAAAAATAATAATAATAATGGACTGGTAAAATGAAGTTAGGCTTCAAGATACTCAGCACCATCAGGCACATATCTACAAATGCATGCTGTCCTTAAGATCAAGCAAGCTTCTCAAACATGCTAGACAAGTATGGAAAACTCTAATTTGACAACCCCCCGTGAGAGAGAGAGAAATTCAAGTGCCAGGTGCATGCTCTGGATCTCCCCAGCAGCCCTTGCTGAGGTAAGATAAATCTCATAGAAGAACCCAATTAAAGAAGGGAGAACACTAGCTAGCATCTTAACTCTGTGATACATGAACTCATAAACTTAGTAACCTAGTTCCTTCCTTTCAAATATCAGATGACAGAGAACAAGTTAAATAGACTTGCTGCTTTTTCTTAGCTAGTCAACTTCCAATTTTTTATTTCTCAGGAGGTCTCCATCCAACCTCTCAAGTAGTTCAAGAGCTTTGTTTAATTTACCATATTTTTGAAATGCATTTTTGAAAGCATCACATACATGCATAGGAGGACAGAAACCCTTTCCCATCCTTGAGTTAAGTTTCTGATATGCATCTTTCAGTTGACCTGCTCTGCAGTGCTTGAGCAAGATTTGTGTTTCCATTTTACCTTCCAATTTGGCACATAAATCAGTACGCCCCTTTTCCCTCAAAATTTTATCCACCAAAGTAAATGTGTTAAAATGTGGAATCAAACCAAGGCCCAACATTTCTATCAGCAAATGGTACGCTGCTTCCCAATTCCTAGCTTCACCATAAGCATGAATTAAAGCAGTATAGGTTACACTGTCAGGATTACATCTCTTGTTTGTCATAATCTTGAAGACCGTTTCAGCATCATCCAATTTATCCAGTTTGCAAAGCATGGAAATTAAGGAATTATAAACAACTAATTTTGGCATCAATCCATGAGACAGCATTCTACCAAACAAGTGGTCAGCTTCCTCAACCCAACTATGTTCACATAGAGCCTGCATCAGAATGGAATAACCCTCGTCCAAGCAACTCATCTTTCTTTCCTCAACAACCTTTAAAACCTGAAATGCTTCTTTCATTTCCACCGCTCGACATAACTCTTTTAACAGTTGAATTATGACAAATGAACTAGGTAACAAACCCACATCATAAACTGCCCAAAACACACCCACTGCAGACTCTATAGCATTACTACCAACCTTTGTGCCCACATTTGGAACCAAAATCGTACAGGGTCTAGACACATTCTTCATCCTAACTTTCTCAATTGATCCTTCCTTTGCACTCAAAAAACACAACTGCCCAATTAGAATGTTCACTGCAGACCTTGTCGGAACAAAACCGGCCCTGTCCATTGCGCGAAAAACCCCAAGGGCAGTCTCAAACCTACCAAATTTACATAATCCAACAAGGATATTACTATATGAATAGATGTCCGGTGATTCAATCCTCCAAAATATACTGAGGGCAACATCAATCCATTCCCCAGATGTCTCCTTCTTACAAAGCACATAAAGCATATTATTATACACATAATTATCAGCTTTACACCTAAATGCTGCCTCCATTTCTTCAAACAAACAAAGGGCTTCTCTAACCCGCCCTTGCCTACCCAAAAACCTAATGCAAGTTCCAAAAGCCCGGCATGAAACCCTACAGTTGTGAGACAACAATGTTAACAAGAAACACTTCATATCATCGAAAAGCTTCCTCCTTCCCAAAAAATCAGCCATGTACTCAATCACACAGTCATCAAACTGAAAACCCATTTGCCCTCCAGCCCAAGAAATGAACTCCAGAGTCTTAATTCTTCCCAATTGTCTATAATTCGACACGACCTGAAGCACAAGATGAGAATCTAATTTCTCCTTATAATCCTTCAACAAGCAATCAAAATCGTTACACTGAAGGGATTGGTCAGAAAGTAGAGAGCAAATGGAATTAGCATCAGAAGAACTTACTGTTCGTAAAGCTAAATCCCCCTGGACCCATGCTGGGACAGGAGCGGGTTTCCTGGCGGTGATTCTGGGGATTTCGGGATTAGATTTGAAGCTTGAGGAAGAAGATGAGTGGAGAGAGTGTGTGAAGATCCTGAGAGCTTTTGCGGAGAAAGAAAAAGCTCCATTTCTGCTTCTACAGAGCATTGGACGACTGAGGTACGAAGCCGTGAGCTCCCAGCTGCCAGTTCCAGTTTTTTTGTTTTTGTTCTTGTTTTTTTTTTTAATTATTGCATCCCTTCAAATTCAATTAACCACTTTCCCTTTGAACCCGACCCGGACTGGTCGGCTTGAATATGTCAGCTGACTCAGCTTGTTTTTTTTTTTTTTTTTTTACTGCTATTTTGATAATTTTGACGTGTGAACTTTACAAAACTGAAAAATAGTTTTCTTTTTTTAAAATTGTTTCTTTTCTTCGCTTTTACACTAATGCCCAATTCAAACTATCATGGAGCTTACTTTATCCCCCTAATTTGAGGAGAACTTTTTCTCTTTTTCTATTCTTTATTGTATTTTATTGTTTTCCCATTGTAGAGTCTTATATCATAATAATACATTGTGTACCAATAATTGTAAACGTAATTGATTCTTTTAATTTAACAATTAAGTATAAATACTAATATTTATGATTATTTTTTTATTTTATAAATTAAAATGCATCTATTAATTTATGGTCATAAAATGCTTCCCTCTTAGGGTTTCTCACCAGACTTGGTTCAAATCCTCCTATTCTCCAAAAATCCCCCAAACATGCAACTTTGTTAAAATTAAAAAAAAAAAAAAAATTATGGTCATGAAATGTAACCATTACTAGATTTTATTACGAGGCAAAGGTACATGAATAACTCAACTATATTTCCATAAGGGCTAGGTGGAGAAAGTCTTTAATACAATAGATGATGCCACATGGAGAAAGGTTTTAGTACAATAGAAGATACCACGTCTACAATATTCTCATTCTTTAATATTATGGCAACTCACTTTGACAACTACATTTAGTGGGTCAGCCTATAATAAAACCCAGCCTTTTGCAAACTTCCAATTATTTTGAAGACTTTCTCCCCTAATTGATTGTAAGAATATTGTATTAACATTAATGAAAATACAGACAATCCGGACAATCAACCGTGCGATGTTAAATAATGATAAATAAACTTAAATTTTAAAATTAAAATATAAAATTAATGAAGTAACTTAGGTCGTATCATTTCAAATATTAAAAAATAAATCTTATATTATTTAATAATTAATTTTTTATTTTTTTAATTTATAAAACTATATAAATTAATTAATTTAATAACATGACTTATACTGTTTTATTAATTTCAAATTTATGTCCTAAATTTTCATCTCCTTACAATTATTATATATTATTATGTCGAAAGTTACATTAAATTTCATTTAATTTAAAATTAAATTACATTAAATTTCATCTAATCTAAAGTTACGGTGGATCAATTCTTATATGAATAAAGTTCTTCTAGTACTCTTTTTTTTTTCTTTATAAAAATCAAATTCGAAACCTTTATAAAGAACCACTCTTTTTTGTTTGGACCAACATATCATTGGTACGACTTTCCAAAATTTATGATATAGCTGCTTGTGCTTTTAACCAGAGTTTAAGATTCAATCCTGGTTTCAACATACCAAACATTGAAGAAACTGCCATTAAGTGTTCTTCGAATCGTAATACTAACGAAAACGAAGAAGCCCAACCTGTCAAGATTACACCTATTTAGCCAGCCATAACCATGGACGTCATAATGTGAAGGCGTGGCAACAGCTAATCAAATCCAAGATGTCATAAATGGTGGCTTTTGAATGCATTGGATAAGTCGGAAAGAATCGACAAAATGGGATTTATGTTGACAAAGTCTGAAAGCTTAAATATTCCAACGTACACAAAACGTAAGGCAGCCCAACAGATGAATGCATATTCCCTTTTAAAACGATTGCTTGCCACCTTGCATTTTCCCATTACCTGTCTAGATTTCGGAGAGAAACTGAATTCAGCTTCTTTAGCTGAAATAGTGCTTCCCTCAGTTGTCCAATTTTGAACAAATCTAGACTGATATGTACCAAAAGTATATATCAAATGCAGTAATCACCCCAGAATACAAGTGTTTCATAAGGACACCCGGTTTCTGCTTTCTATATTCATGAGTCTCAAGCTCTAATATAACAACAGAGTTTGTGATTGTGAACACATCATTCAATGTCAGTTTTGCTTCTAAGAATAAAAGAAGCAGGCCATCTAAACCAACCAATACAAGGAACTTGTTCATCAAACAAATCACTGATGCTAACAGGCATAAAATGCCTCAAGCAATGAAACAGCAATTTAAAGAATAATGGAAAACTGCCGGAATCAATAGAGAGAGAAACTTGGGTTTCTCTTCTCACACTCTTCACCCCCTTTTCCCCCCTTCCAAAACTGCCTCAGCGAGACCAGCAAAATTGGTACCCATATCTATCCAGAGGGGGGATAAACACAAGTCAGTCAATTGTTAGCACAGTTAAGCATTGTCATTGTTGTGACTGTCATTAGATACCATGAAGATAATCATAGCATAGGCATGAGGAATCAATCATATATACAGTTAATAACTGCAGTTAGATTAGTTACCTCAGCAAATGCAGAGGTCTGCAACTAGTTGGTAAAGCTCTAATGAAGCCTCTCACCACTGCATACAAACAACAGAAGGTTGGAGGACTTCATAACAATATTAATCATTGAACATAAAGGACATGAACAAGATAACAATGACTGAGCCTTATTCATAGCATTACTTATACTCAATGCACTGATACAAAAATAATAGCAATAAATAAATGTTTTAGACTCATAATCATAAGGATCCAGTTATTCTCAAACCTGAAACAAACCTCCTCATGCCTCTTCTTCTCCTGCTCCTTTCCGACCCATGTCAAATGTTTTGGCAGGTCCATTCCCTTGCAGGAAACTTCATTCCACCAAATAAAGTCCCATAATGGATCGGTGAAGCAGAAACCCTACATGAAAATCCAGGCCATTAACTCCCATCACGAAAATTGCCCCCCCATTTTTCATTGATGATAAATCCAATATTCTTTGATCCCTCAGCTGCACAGCTTAACAGTGCATGCAACCGCCTGTGCCCAAAATTTGAGCCTTGCTTTGACATCTTCTGGATGGTCTCCTGTATATACAAAGAAAGGCACTACAAGCTCAAAATTGATGCTTAATGTAAGAAATCAACTTCTCTGACATTCGAGGACGATTAACTTTCACTATAATTTGTTTGAACAGGCAATGCTAAGAAGACTCAACAACTTCATTTAGACGGTTGATTGTACACAACTGCTACTAAAACCTAAGACTCAAATCGGAAAAATAAACCAGGTCCTAGACAGACCAAATCACCAACATAGCCAACAATTGTTGCAGATCAGAATGTATACAGATCATCAATCAAAACATCAAACAACCTAAATCATCATCTGATTTATAGATTATCCTGAGCAAACCAAATAACAATACCAAACAGATTTCACTTCAGAAATCCGAGACAATAAACACCTGGCGCAGTATTCCAACAACATGAGGAGTCAACAAGAGGATACAAAAGTGTACATCGGAAAATAATGCATGCAGCTAAAAAATGAAAGCAGGTCAACAGAAAACCAAATTGAAGAAAAAAAACTCACCAGGACTGGAGATCTTCCAATTGGCAATCGGAGCAGTTTCAGGGACAGCTTCCGTAGATCTCTCAGGAGACTTCTGGTGTTCATCCATGAACTTCTGCGACATGGAGTAGCAAAGCTCAAGAGCAGGCAAGGTGTTGCAGAGCTCCGGGATCTCCTCGTAGCTAAATCCAAACCCCAGATCCAAGCACCCTTTCAACTCGTCAAGATCGTCGTCCGTCAAGCTCTTTGTCCTCTTCAATTCATCCTCATCCGCTGCCTCCACATATCCCTCTAGCAACACCTGATTCTTCTTCTTCTTCTTCCTGATCTGGTTGTTATTCTTGCCATCAACCTTTGCCCAATCTTCACTTTCCCGACTGAATCCGTTCGCCGATATCGACGGCGGCCCAGTTAAGGTCTGTGTGTCCTCGGTTTCTCCGATCGAGGTTGAGAAGGACACCCATGATTCATGTTCACAAGAAACCCCTACCATTTTCTTAGAAGTTTCTGTCTCTAGATCTCGTCTATCCAATTTTGCGAGGTGTTCATGAGAGACGACCAACGGGTGCTTATAAAGAAAGCTCCGTCCAGCGAAGAAATTACTCCGCTTTCCTTCTTTCCTTTTTTTTTTTTAGTTTTAATTCGAAATAAATTACATTATGAATGGATCATAGATGTGAATTTTACATGTATGCATGATGGCATGATGACGACATGGGTGAGACAGCTGTACAGGAGAGGTGGAAAAGATGACGGTGACCAAAGGACGACACGTGGTGGCTGCTTTGATCACAGTAGAATGGAGGAAAAAGACAATGTAGATGGGTGGGGCCCACAAGGAGGCGATGATGTTCCATCACGTCTGGTGGTATTATTGTTGCGGATGGGTATGGTTTGTTTTTTTTTTTAAAAAAAAAAAAAAACAGATTATAAAATGGGAGTGGGGAAATCGAACCGATCCAAGCGATTGGGTGCGCACCTATGAGAGCCTTGAGAGGCGACAAAGTCATTAAACTGAGAAGGACAGGTGCAAGTATGGTTTAATTATAGTTATCATTGAAATTAAACTATAGATTAATAATGTTTTTAGTTAATAAATTTTTTTTATGTTGGTTGCATCATGAAATTTTTTTTTTATTTTTTATTTCATCACATTCTCATATTATACAACTTAAATTTAAAAATTTTTTTCTCAACAAAAGAAAATTATCATTACATTATTTAGATAGTTGATTAATCAATAAACATTTAAAATTATTAACCAAATAAAAAATCTGATCTATGAAATTTGGATCATTTTTTGATAATAACTACTTACTTCGATTTTAATTGTCATTGAAAAATTATTCTTAAATTTTTTAAATTTTTAAATTTTATTTTATTAATTTTAATTATTAAAAAATATAATTTATCCAAGTAAAA